CTTGGTGCTGAGGGTGATAGAAAATTTAGGAAGTTAAGGTCCTTGTCTTCATGAAGCTTATATTCTATTTGGGGAATAAGACACAGATAAAAAATCAAATCAAATTGTGTACCCAATGGAGAAGATACGGCCCCTGTCTCTGGTGACTTGTCAATGGAACTGAGAAGAAAAGAGACAAATTCAAAACAGTATGTCAACAAATGTGAGAGGTGGATAAGACTAGATAATTCCAAGGAATGGAAGGTTCACTTTGTGGGCGAGGGTTAATCTGGGAAGACTTTTTGGAGGAAGTGAGTTTAAACTGGGCCTTGAAGAATAGGTGACAGATGGTTTGGAGGAAAGGGGGAGTTAAGTATTTTAACAGAATAAAGGTATCCCTTCCATAACGCAGCTTTCCCCATCAAGGTTTCTCTGTATCTCGGGTTTGCGTAAGAATTTAAATGGGAATTTTGAGGGAGTTTTACAGAAGCCGCAGACAGCATTGAAAGGCCAGCAGATGACACAGAAAACGTTTAGAAACTCAGAAATACATAAAATATATGTATATAGTATTGTATGATATCAACATATTTTATCTTTTAATACCATAATGATTTACACTTCTCTGGTACAAAGGGAAGGGCAAAAAATTTTACACAGATTTTCCAAATTGTGGGTATGCCATGCCCTTAACCCCTGCCATGTGGAAGGGGTAACTATATAAGGTCTGGAAGGGACCACAAAGATTACGTATTCTATACACACCCCCAACTTCAAATTACAGAAGATGAAATTGAGGTCCAGGGGAATAGTGTGATTAAAAGACCAGAGATTAGAAGTGAGCTTATTAGTTTCAGGAGACAAGATGGGCCTGCCTAGAGTCCAATATCCTTGTAGAGGGGCAGCTAGGCGGCATAGTGGATAGAGCACTGGCCCTGGAGTCAGGAAGACCTGAGTTCAAATCCAGTCTCAGACCGGACATTTGACATTTATAGCTGTGTGATCCTGGGTGAGTCACTTAACCCCAATTGCCTCCCAAAAAAAACAAAACAAAACAAAAAAAAAACAAAAAAAACAATATCCTAGTAAAGAAATTGTGGGACATAAAGAGAGCTGGCCTGGCTCAGGTCAGACCACAGAGGAACTCGAATGTCAGAATGAGGAGCTTGTACTTGATGGGTTAGGAAATAGGAAGCCCCTGTAGGTTCTTCAGCAAGGGAATGATATGAAAATAATAACAATGATAACAGCAATAACAATTGCTTGCGTTGCATCTCATGGAATGTTAGAGCTGGGATGGACTATCCGGAGAGGAAAATATGGCCCAGATAAGTTAAGGGAAATTGTCTAAGGCCACAGTTAGTAAGTAGCGGAACTCAGATTCAAGCTCAGGACTTCAATTAGACAATTCCAGCCACCTTGCTCCTCATTTTTGACTGGACCCGCGATCCAAGAAACTGCCAATGAAGAAGAAACTCTCTGTGCCAAAGTAGACCAGCAACTGCCCAGCAACTGAGAGAGAATTGGCCTGAGGGCATTGAGAGGTCCCACAGCTATTGTGTCAGAGGCAGCTGGGACTTAAATCCAAGGTCTTCCTACTCTTAAGACCCAATTTCATCTACTCCAGAGCACTCCCTCTTATATGGAGCTCTCGTATTTCCAAAACACTCTCATTCATGAGCTCCATTGTTCCCCTAGGCAACACGAAGAGATGGCTAATTACAAAGTCACATGGCCAGAATAGGATTCCAATCCGGGTTTTCAGAGTCAGGGTCCGGAGATGTTTTCTAAAAGAAATGGTACTAAAGCTGACCTTTGGGAAAGGATGAAATTCCCCACCCCCCTTTCGTCTCCCTTTCACCTTCTTTATTCGCCTCTCAATAGAGCCTTTTTATACGGAATGGACTGCCTCAGAGAGGTGGTGAGTTTCCTGAAGAGGTCTTCAAACAAAGACTGGTATTGATCCTTGTCGATCATGTTGTGGATGATACCCTGTGAGGTCCCTTCCAAGTCTAAGAATCTATGCTTCTCCCAGACCACCCGCCTGGGGAAAGCAGAGGGGCCACCAGGGCTGCCTCTTTAGGCAATTTGCCTACCTTTCTCCACCTCCCCAGCCAGCCTTTCCTGGGAGGAAGGCAGGGGAGACCCTGGTTTCACTCTTTGCCCAGCATCCTCTACGATTTCTCCCTGAAAAAGCAAGAAAACTCCTTATTTGGCTGAGCTGAGCCAGCCAGGTCTCTGCAGCAATGAAGGCTCTGATTTAACCCTTGGTTTATAAATAAAAGAAGCGATCACAGGAGAAGCTTAAACACCACCAGGCAGCAACATAAACAGAGCTCAAAGTCATTCCCCGGCAGGAGGCAGAGACTCCGGGGAGTGTGGGAGGGTCCAGGAGAAGTAAAGAGGAACTGAGCAAACCCTCAGGCCCAGCTGCTGCAGGGATTCAGGCCCAGGCGGTGGGGGCCAGGAGATGGAAACCCTGGTGTTTATTTGAATGACACCCAGGCCGCCTGGGAACATGGCCCCGGATTCTTCTCAGCTGAGGCTCTCATTCCATCTGACTAGGTCTGCTCGGAATCTGGGAGAGGTCTGCTCTGCCCCTCTGTACAATCCTCAGCCCCAGTCATGGCTGCCCCTTTGGACAACCTTGGCTAGGGAGTGGAGAATCTCTCACAGAATCTAAGAGTGGAAAGAGAGCTCAGAGGGCACCTGGTCTGAGCCTTACTCGAACAAGAATCCTCTCTGGGGGCACTAAGAGGTATGCCCTTCAAGTGTGCCTGGCACCTTAGCCACTCAGTGCCTGTATTAGCTGCTTAATGTTGTTGTTGTTGTTTGGCCTTCATTCTAAAAGAGGACCATGACATCAGGAAGGTGATGCCATTACATGCAAGTGACTTGGATTTAAGTGAGGGAGGGCTGGGAAAATCACCAGCCTCACTTTCTCCTCCAGAGCCATCTGGTCCAGTGGCCAGATATAGATCAGGACAACTGGAGATGGCCCTGGATGGAGTGGGAGACTTTGGCCTTTTTAAGCTAAGGTCTTTAACAGGTCTCAGCTTGACTGAGGCAGAGTCCATTCAGTGATTAAGGCTAGGTAAGAAATGAGAGAGTGGCCTCTTTTACCTAATCAGAATAAAAATTTTTTTTAAAAATCAGTCTGGGAGGGGAGGACCCTCAGAGTTTCTGGTCAAAACAGAAATAATTGCTATAAGCACTTGTTGAATTGAATTAAATTGAAAAGGAGAATCTGATTCAGTATTACTTCTCCCCACTGCTCCTATTTCTCCTCTCTGAGGCCAAGCAGAATAATCCTAATCCTCCTTCTTCCTCACAGCCTTTCAGGTACAAGAATATTGCTATCCCTATTGTTTCTCTCCTATTTCTTTCCTTATTAAGGCTACACATTCTTAGTTCCTTCAAGTTATCCTTGTATGGCATGGTTTCCAGTCCCCTCCCCACCCTGATCTTGCTTCTCTGGACTGATTCCAGTTTGTCAATGTCCCTCCTAAAACATGGCACCCAGAAGTGAACATAACATTCCACGTGGCCCAACCAGGGCAGAGTGCAACAGAATGGTCATTGCCCTGAGTTGTAGTCTCATTTTGGCCCCAAAAAGCTATGTGACCTTAGATAAGTCACTATACCTGTGAGGTCACAGTTTCCTGACTTTGGTGCAGGGTTATGGAGAGGACTTGAATTTTAAATCATATCACCATTTGGTATGGATTTTATCTCAATTAAATAAGTTCTTTAGGGATACACTTATTCTGGTTGGCCCCAGAGGGCAGAACCAGTAGTAGTAATAGTATTTCTACAATGCTTTAAAGCTTTTTTACAACTATGATCTCATTTGATTCTCACAACAACCCTATTATCATCCACATTTTGCAGATGAGGAAACTGAGGCAGGCAGAAATTTATATGATTTGTTCAGCATCACACAAGGGGAAAGCAGGCTGTGGGTTCAGACACCAGCTCTGCCTCTGAATAGTCACATAACTGTGGGTAAATCCCTTGTACCTCAGTTTCCTCATCTGTAAATCATGGCATTAAATTAGATAATAACAGCTGGCATTCGTATAGGATTTTAGGGTCAGCAACGAGGTGGGGTTTTTTTTAACAAATATGATCTCATTTGATCCTCACAACAACCTGGGAAGGCAGGTGATATTATCTCCATTTCACAGATGCAGAAATCAAGACTTAAAGAAGTTTAGCCAGTTGCCTGCGGTCACAGAGGCAGCAAGGTTCAGAGGTCATATTTGAACCTAGGTCTTACTGATTTCAAACCCTGCCCCCCCACCCCATGCACCACACTGGATTTCCAATGATTTGTAAGGATCTCCTACGATCCTGTGTACCTTACCTTGGTTGACTGCCTGCTAGGCCTATAACTGGAATTTTTTTTTTCATTGAACTAGAAGCCATTGGGCCTGGATCTTAGTACCACCTCCACCAATGATTCTCTGGATGACCTTGGACAATTCACTTCTATATTCTGGGCCTCAGTGTCTTCCTCTGTGAAAAAGGAATAGCTAGATAAGATGCTTCATTTTTTTTTGAGGCAGTTGGGGTTAAGTGACTTGCCCAGGGTCATGTAGCTAATAAATGTCTGAGGCCGGATTTCAACTCAGGTCCTCCTGACTCCAGAGCCAGTGCTTTATCCACTACCCCACCTAACTGCTCTAACACAATAGTACTGCCAGCTTTTTTCCATGGACAAAACCAGTTGCCAGGGAGGTGAAGTTTGAGCCAGGAAAATAGTCTTACTGACTGGGGGAGAAGGCAGTCTTATGAGAGAGGGAGGACAGCTATGAGTCCTAAGAGATGGTAGCTGTGCCACATATGGGCTGGAGGAAAACTGAGAGGCTAGACCCTATCTGTCATTAAAAAAGCTCCCCCCAAAAAAATCAGCACCTTGGAACAAAACCCCATTTGCCATGTATTAGGTTCAGTTTATCTGTTCCCTGCCCCATGGGTTCACATTCCTATCCATTTCCTTACTTTTCTTCCAGGTGTCGGTTGCCATCATGCCATCCTCCTCCCCTGAGGAGTCCTCCCTTCTTGCCAGTCCTAATGCCACAACCCCAGCCAACAGCAGCATGGGAGAAAACCAGTTCTCCCATGCTTTCTTACTTTTGGACAAGGAGTTGCACGACAGCTTTCCCAGCCTGTGGGTGGCCCTACTGGCGGTCAATGGGACCATCTTCCTAGTTGGTGTGGCACTCAATGGCCTGGCCCTCTATGTCTTCTGCTTCCGCACAAAGACCAAGACCACCTCCATCATCTACACCATCAACTTGGTGGTGACAGACCTGCTGGTGGGCCTGTCGCTGCCCACGAGGTTCATTATCTACTATGTGGCTCGAGACTGCCTCAAGTGCTCTCTCGTGCACGTCTTCAGCTACTTTGTCAACATGTACTGCTCCATCCTCTTCCTCACCTGCATTTGTGTGGACCGCTACCTGGCCATCGTCCAGCTGGAGGCCTCGAGGAAATGGAGGAACCCCAGCTGTACCAAAGGCATCTGTGTCTTCATCTGGGTCTTTGCTGTGGTAGTGACCTTCTCCATCCTTTCTGTAGCAGTCCAGGGAGGCTCCTGCTGTCGCCTCTTTGCCTTGACAATCTTTGAATACTTCCTGCCTCTGGTGGTCATCACCTTTTTCACCGGAAGGATCATGTGTGCGCTGTCCAAGCCCAATCTCATGCATCAGAGCCGTGAGCGGCGAATGCGTGCTGTGCAGCTCCTCCTTACTGTCCTCGTCATCTTTCTGGTATGCTTCACACCATTCCATGCCCACCAGCTGGCCGTCTCTCTCCATCCCCAAGCCATACCCAAAGAAGCGGATCTCGTGGCCTACCATGTCACCATCACCCTCAGCAGCCTCAATAGTTGCATGGATCCCATCGTCTACTGCTTTGTGACCAACAGCTTCCAGGCCACTGTCCGGGGCCTCTTTCACAGGAGCGAGCCAGAGCAGACCAGCGGGGAGGTCATCAGCATGCACAAGAGTTCCAAGGGCTCCATCCACAATGCCATCATTCCCTACTCTCGAGCTTTGGCTGACAGGCCCCAGGTGTAGTCAGGGAGGCTAGAGCATCGTAGGAGAGGCCAAGATGATGAATGAGGTGTCATAGAAAAAGTCCTGGAATTGCAGTCACAGGCCTTGAGTTCAAGTTTGGACTCTGCTCCTGACTACCTATGTGACCTTAGTCAAGTTTTTGCTTATCTGGAGATGAAAAGTTTCCTCATTTGTGAAATAAAGGGTTGACCCAGATAAGCTGAAAGCTCATGTTAAAACTCAGATATGCTCTTTCCAACTCTGGAGCCTATGACACTACTTGGACTCTGATGACATCCTAAGGATGGTTCTAGGGTGGGGCACCCACCTCTATCCCACCTCTGCCTCCATGTGTGACCTCGGATGAGTCTCTTCAACTATCTCGGCCTTCGTTTCCTCATCTATCAAATGGGGATAATAATGCCTGACCTTTCTACCTCATAGGAGAGTAGAGAGGGTGAGAGCAACCTGTGATAACTAAGGTCATCAGATACTTAGAGATACATCTGGCCAGGGCAAATGACCACACGATTTAGCTACTTAATCGTATTCTGAAGAGTGTTTCCTGGGGACCCAGTAGTTAGCAATTATCTCTTTAGTTCTGGGCATTCCCTACTTGGTTAATCAGTTTCTGGGGATATATTCCCTATGGCTCCATAGGCCTTGGGCACAGGAAGGGGAGAATTGGGGAGGGGGGGAAGGTGAGGGGAAGAGTGGAGAAGAGACAGGAGACGAATCCAATTAAGAAGGGAGCAAACAAAAGAGAAACAGATGCATCAAATGGAGAGGGATAGAAAAGGTCATGTCAGGGTGAATATATAAAAATGTTCCCTGTGCTTCAAATTGGCACAGGACTTGAAGCTTTTCAAAAATACTTTCCCATCTAGTCCATCATCTGAGCTTTATAACAGCCTGGGAGGGCGGCAGGAAAAGGACTCTGTCTAGGGCTTAGCATAGTGCCAGGAACATAGTAAGTCCTTAATAAATGCCCATTGTTGCTGATGATGACAATTGTCCCTATTTTTTTAGAAGAGGAAACTGAAATGCAGAGAACTGGTCTGCCCAAGGTCATAGATCTCCTGGCTCCCAACAAAAAGATCCTTTTACTGAACGCGGTCACCTCCCTTCATCCTAAGCATGAGCTTCCAATTGGGGCTGTCCTACTTGATGATGGTAGCCCCCAGACTAGAGTCTCCTGTATGTGTCTCCTCTACCCACCCAAATAAAAAGAAGGAAGACCACTGAGGGAGTTCCAGGTAGGGTCTTCAGTTAGAACTTCTGACTTACCTCCACCTGCCTGGTGTGCAGAGAATCTTAGAACTGGCAGGTATACTGTACTCAACTTGGGGAGCTCCACCTATACTCATGGTAAAGTGTTTGCCCAGAAATTGATCTAGAGACTGCTCAACCCGATCTGAAACATCTCTTTGAGCTCAGTGTAAGTGGAGGGCACTTTGGAAGGGAGGAGGAGGCCTCCTTCTCAAATATGGCCTTTGAGCTGTAACTTAGATAAGCCATGCCTTAGATAGTATGGAGGCAGTATAGTAGATAGAGTCCTGCACCTGTAGTCAGAAAGACCTGAGTTTCAAATCCTGCCTCAAACATTAGCTGTATGACCCTTGTCAAGAGATATAACCTCTGCCTGCCTCTGTTTTCTCATCTGCAAAATGAAGATAATAATAGCACTGATCTCACAGAGTTGCAGTAAGGAACATATGAGATAATATATGTAGAGTATTTTATAAACCTTAAAATGCTGTATAAATGTTAGCTAGTTTTATTCTCTGCACCTATGAACTCTGACCCCTTTGAAAAAAAAATCACGTTTCTTTGATGAAGGGAAGAAGTGCTGTGGGACACACTCACTAAATGTGTCTTTTATGGAATTTAGAGCTGAAAGGGACCTTAAGGATGATTTAGTCAAACTCCTCCATTTTACAGACAAGAAAATGGAGGCTCAACAAGGCGAGAGGGACTTGTGTATCACAGCCACACAGCTAAAAGGTCAGAGCCGGAATACAAACCTAGGTCTTCTGACACTGAATCCAATACTCATTTTACTACATCCAAACCAAAGATGTTCACCCCAAAGGAGTCCACAGGGGTGGACTTCAGAGGGCTGGTGAATATGGATGGGAAAAAATTACATCTTTATTTTAATATAATTGGTTTCCTTTGTAATCCTGTGTATTTTAATTTATACATTTTACATTATTCTGTAATGGGGTCATTAGGCTTCATCAGACTTCCACAGGGGTCCAGGACAAAAGAAAAGAAAAAAAGCTCAAAACCCCTCTCCTAGTCTGTGTAGCCTCTCTAGAGAATGCTGGGAGCAAAACTCAAACCATGGAGTGAATTGGTCATCAGCTGAACCCCCCCTAAATTTGCCACAGCCCCACATGCTAAAAACCAGTGGTTCTGTTTATCGAAAGCTAATTCTTGAGAATTCTAGTGTCTTGCCCTAGGAAATTACTCCAGAAATCCTAGTCGTTTGGTGACCTCTCTAGAAGTTTCTCCTAGGTCAGAAGGGGACTTCATAGCATGGTGCATTGGAAAGAACACCACATGTGAAGTACAGAGGACCTGGGTTCAAATCCAGGCTCTCCTAATCACTACCGGCATGTCATAAATTAGAGCCTCAGCTTCCCCATCTTGTAAAACGAGGACGCTGGACTAGACAATGTCTAGGACCCCTTCCCACACTGAAGTTTCACGGCCCTGTGTTCTTCCTCTGAGTTCCTGAGCAAGGTTGGCCCTTGACAAAATGGAGACATCTCAGAGTTCATATTTAGAAATACCCACATCTCTTCAGTTCCTGCTTCCCTAGTCTTGGTGTTTCGCCCATACCCACCCCTGCATCTCAGGATGCTCAGGTGCTTTGTTCTTCTTCAAATGGGACAACCCACCTCCCAACTCAAAGCCTCTGCAATGGCTATTCACCATGTCTGGAGTGCTCCCTCTTCTCACCTTCGTTCCTGCTTTCCGTTAGGACTCAGTTCGAAACCCACCTTCTGTAGGAGGCTTTTCTCAGCCCCTGCTTGCGCCCTCCTCCACCGGCAGTGCTTACCCTCTGAGATCACCTTCCTTGGCTCTGCATCTACCTTGAATATACAATCATTTGCATGTTGTTTCTTCCATTAGAATGGGAGCTCCTTGAAGGCGGGGACCATGCTTTTATCTTTATTTGTACCTGGAGCACTGAGCACAGTGCCTGGCACTTAGGAACAACTTCACAAATGCTTGCTGATTGACTGTCTAAAGACTTCAAGAGTCTTCCAGGATCTTAAGTGTCTGAGAATCCTTTTTCACCTGAGGTGCTCAGATGAGAATGTTCTCCCTGTACGGAAGCTGGGAGATTTCCCAGTAGCCCCCACTTCACACCAGAAGGGTGGCTACCTACTTCTCCTCCTTATAAAGGTGATTCTGCCTTTGAGGGGCTGTCTAACCCTACATTTCCTCCCTGGAAAAGCCCTGTGACTCGAGGCACTGACAGATGATTCCTCCTGGTGTTCCAGTCTTCAGGAGGAGAACGTCAGAGACAGCAGAGAGCTCTCCAGAGCCAGAATCAGGGAAGTGACCCTGGCCAGCAGCTTACTTTCCTGCTCTCCGTTGGTAGAGGTACTGCCCAAGCAGGCCCTGAGACCTACAATGAGCCCCCAGGAGAATCCTGAGTTGGGGGTGGGACTTGCATTGCCTTTGGAACTGGAAAGATGCCACCACTGAGCTCTAAGAGCCAACTCCATAGGAATGAGGAAAAGGGGTGATATTGATGACGATGGAGGACGAGGACCTCCTCCCATCCAGCCCTGGCTCTGCTCATGATTTGTCATGTGACCCCAGGCAAGTCACACCTCCCTTTGGGGCTTCAGGCCCTACTTCTGTAAATGAGGGGGATTACCGTATTAGATCATCTCTAAGGCTCCTTCCAGTTTGGATGTTCTATGTCCTATGATCCCAAGATCCGAAGAATGACCAGCAGCATCAGGAAGGTGGAGGAAGAGCACTTTGGGACAGAGGGGGGGGAAATCCCTCTACCTTGTGACCTTCCACTTCCTCCTCTAAGCAGTACCCCTGGATTGCTTCATATCTTCCAGGCTGCTCTCTTACATGACCAATATCAGGACTTTCTAAACCTGTCCTAGTTCAGTATCTCATCTGCCTCCCAGTCCATGATGTAAGCCTGGGTAAGGATAAAGAGTTTGCTAGGACATGAGGTCTAGACTGGGTGAGACATCCTTTCCTCTGCTAATTAGGGCTTTCTCTAGGAGGCCAAATCACAGGCTGAGGGTCCAGGGACTCAGGTTTTAGGTATTCCTTCCCCAAGTTTAGTCTCTATCATTACCTCATGTGGGTACCCCACCTACCCCACCTACCCCACCTCCCCAGAGCAAGGCCACTCTTGCTAGTGAATGGGCTTAGCTGGGATACATTGACAAGGGGTAGGGGGATGAATGAGTTAAGTTGGTGAGGCTATGTGACAAAGTTGGTTATGGTGTCCAAGGTTAAAGTCCCATAACTCTGGGACCTGGAATCTTGTAGATTCAGGTAATATCAGAATTGATAGTAACCTTAGAATGGAAGATCAAATACACAAACATACACATGCATATATATGTATACATATGTATGTATATACAACCATGTGTGTGCCTGCATATGTGTGCACATGTATATACATGCATGTGCACATCTATGTATATGTATATATAATTATAGAGCTGGAGAGAACTTTAGAGCACAGAATATTAGACAATAGTTTTTTGGGTTTTTTTTTACTTGGGAAGAACCTTAAAATATAGAATTTTAGAGCATAGACTATTAGAGCTAAAAGAGATCTTAAACATGGAATGATAGAATATAAAAACTTGGAGTTGGAAAGTGCATTAGAACATAGAATATTAGAACTATAAGAAACCCTAGAGATTATCAACCAGGGATTCTTGATCTGGGGCCCATAAACTATTTAAATATATATATATATATATATATATATATATAAATACTTATTTCAATATAATTGGTTTCCTATGTATTTTATTTTATTCCATTATTCTGAAAAGGCTCCACAGACTTCACCAGATTTCCCAAAGGCTCCATGACACTCAAAAATGGGGCTAAGAACCTCACTCTAAATGTCTTGACAATGAATGGATATGAATTCTAGTCCAACCTGCAACTGGTAGAATACCTGCATTGCTTCCCTTCCAAGCTTGGCCCTAGCTCCAAGTCCTATATAAGGCCTTTACTGATCTCATAGGCCCTGGTGTTCTCTCCCTATTGAAAATGCTTTACATTTCTTGGTACATATGTAGTATTTACCTATTTGTGTACAAGTTCTATCCCCTAGGAGAACGTAATCTCCTTGAGGGCAAAGGTTATTTTGTTCCTGTCTGTGTATCCCCGGTGCCTAGCACAGTCCCTCACCATAGTAAGCATAGGAAATCATGTGGGTTGAGTTGAATTGAACACTTCATTTTACCAAAGAGAAAACAGATACCTAGAGAGGGGAAGTGATTTTTAGAGGGTATTAACAGCAAGCACAGTGGTATAGTCAGAACTAAAACCCAGGTCTCCAGAGGCCCAGGCCAGTCAGTACTCTTTCCACTAGGCCAGAAGGTGAT